TGATTATTATACTCAATATTAGCCAACCATACTCCATTTGCATATAAATCACCTGAAATTCATCAAAACACACAAACGAAGAGTAGTAGAGCACAACTTAAGCAAATAATGCAAATATGCACCAAAGATCTCTAATTTTGTAATAAAATGAGCTTAGATACCCACCTAAAACATGTGCAAAATAGGACTTATCAGCTTGCCCCTTCACTGCTTTTCTAGGCTCGAATGTGACTTCGAGGCTCTGAATTTCTATGGCCCATTTGATCATCCATCCTAACGACTCCATGGTGGTCAGGGGCGGCTTGATAGGTTGACCTGTATACACAACAATTGGATGTGCCAAAAAGTAGGGCTTCAATTTTTTTACGACCATGAAGAGTGCGAGGCCGAACTTCTCCACTAAGGGATACCTCAACTCGGCATTTTTCAGTACATGAGTGACAAAGTAAACCGGAAGCTGGCAGCCGTCTCTTTCAGCAAGAAGAACAGCGCTAACAGCATGATCAGAGATGGCTAGGTACATGTAAAGTACTTCTTTGGGCAAAGGACTGACCAGCCTCGGCAAGGAATGCAAATGAACCTTCAATTTTTGGAAGGCCGCCTCAGCATCCGGCCCCCATTCAAACCTTGCCTTTTTCTTAATGGCCTGGAAAAAATATAGGCATTTGTCGCCTGATCGGCTTAGAAATCTTCCCAAGGCCGCCAGACAACCTGTTAGCTTCTGAACCTCTCGGACGGTGCGAGGCGACTGCATGTCGATGACCGCCTGCACTTTCTCAGGGTTCGCCTCTATTCCTCTCTGATTGATGAGGAATCCGAGAAATTTCCCAAACTCAATTCCAAATACACATTTCTTGGGATTGAGCATGATTTAGTGCCGCCTGAGTGTGGCAAAAGTTTCTCGGAGGTCCGACAGATGATCTATCTGAAGCTTAGACTTAACAATCATATCATCAATGTATGCCTCGACGTTCCTCCCAATCTGATCAAAGAACAAAGTATTTATCATTCGCTGGAAAGTGGTCGGGGCATTCTTCAGACCAAACGGCATGACCGTGTAACAGTATAACCCTTGATCGGTAACGAAGGTCGTCTTCTCCTGATCTTTCTTCCATAAAGGAATTTGATGAAAGCCTGAGTAGGCGTCCATAAAACTCATCAAAGCATGGTCGGCTGTTGAGTCGACCAAATTATCAATTTTAGGCAGAGGGTAACTGTCTTTGGGGTACGCCTTGTTTAGGTCTGTGTAGTCCACACACATTCGCCAGGTACAATTCGGCTTTTTAACAAGCACTACATTTGCAACCCAGTCTGGGAAGTAACATTGCCTAATGAACCCTGCATCAAGTAATTTCTTAACTTTGGCGGATGCCGCCTGACTTCTTTCTTCGCCATGGTTCCGCTTCTTCTGCCTTACCGGCTTCTTTTTTGAATCCACGGCCAGCTTATGTACCGCCAGGTCAGGACTGATGCCTGCCATTTCATGGACTTTGAATGCAAATATGTCTTTGTATTCTTTCAAAAGTTGATGAAAGTCTTCACCCAGAACTCTCAGAGCGGTCGTCCCAACCTTGACTGTTCAGCCAGGGCGCAATCGTCTAGGATGAGGTCCGTATGCTCACCAGTCGGCTGAGGGCGGAATTCATCTGACCGCTCCTCTGCCAACGATTGCTATTGTTTCTCTTTTCTTGCGGCCCCCATCTGGGCAGCCTTTCTTCTCTTGCCGCCTGCTTCTTGAACAGGCGCACTCTCCTTGACATTGTCAAGGTCTGTTTTTCCACCACTTGACCCAGCGGCCATGACAGTGGGCTTGATATCCGAGAGATAGCACTCTCGGGCCATCTTCTGATCTCCCCTTAGGGAGCCGAATGTCCCATCATCCCTCTCGAATTTGAGCAACATAAGAGACGGGATTATAACAGCCTTGGAATTATTCAGGGTTGGTCGTCCCAGAATCATGTTGTAGGCCGAGAGTTCCTCAACTACCAGGAATCGGACCACAATGTGGCTACCTTCCCCTTTTTCACCCAAGAGAATGGATAAATCCACTCGTCCTACTAGGTGGACGACTCCTCCTCTAAACCCTACTAGAGAGTGGGATACCGGGTGTATGCAATCAATCTGGTATTTGAGCTTTGACATACATTTTCTACTGATAAGATCTGAGGAACTGCCGGTATCTATGAGGATTCGGCCAACTCTCTGGTTGGCCACTTTACATTCAATAACAATAGGGTCGTTATGCGTCCCCCTTACCCCTCCTAAATCTTCTTCAGTGATGACAATTTCAGGAAATGAATATTTGGAGGGTCATTCTTGGTGAACGGAATTGATGTCTAGCCGCCTGATATTGTCTTTGTTGCCCCTGATAGTGGGGCCGCCTCCTGAGAAGCCTCCTGCAATGGTGTAGACAACTGCCTCATCTGTATCAGAGCTGTCGGCCTGTTGATTCTTTTTGGCCGACTGCTTTTTCGAGGAAGTGTTCCCCTTAGATTTCTTGACATAAGAGTCAAGGTCGCCTTGTTCAGCCAGGCGGTCCAGATACCGCATGAGACTGATGCATTCGTTAGTTTCATGACCAACGTCTTCATGATAATGACAGAATTTTTCTTGGTTCCGATTGCTCGCAGAACCCTTCATGGGGGTCGGCTTCTCAATTGAGATTTGTCCCTTGATTTCTTTTAGGATAGCTTGGCTATCCTTGTTAAACGCATACTTTGGGGAGTATGGTTTGAATTCTTTCTTCTTCTTCTGGGCCGGCTGTTTAGAGGAATCAGCCGCCCAGACCTCTTTTCGCTTCTTGTCCTCTTTGTTGGATGACTGCTTCTGTCGCCCTTCTTTCTTGTCGAACCTCTTTCCGTCCGACTGCTTTCCAGTATTACAAAGATCAGTCGCCTATATATAGGTTTCAGCTTCAATCAAGGCTTCTTGAAGAGTCGTCGCCCTCTTTCAAACCAAATCAAATTTGAAGGTCGACCCGTCTTTGAGGCCTCTGAAAAAGTCAGTATAGGCCACCTCATCCGGTAGCCCTTGAATCTGTATTCTTATCAGGTTAAACCGCCTGATGTAAGAACGAAGCCCCTCCTTCTCACCCTGCTGAATCGTCCCTAAATCAAGGGTCGTCTTCTTCGCATGTATGTTCATGGCAAAGTTGGAGGTGAATAGGTAAGCAAGCGTCCTGAAGTTATTCACACAACCAGTCGGCAGGTTGCCGAACCATTATTGTGGGATTCCTTTAAGAGTCGCTGGGAAACACTTGCACCAAGTGGGATCATCCAACCCTTGGAGGTACATCAGGTTGGTGAATGCCATCAAATGGTCTTCTGGGTTAGTAGTGCCGTCATAGGCGCCTATTAACACATTTTTAACTTTGGCCGGCTGAGCGGCTTCAGTAATTTCCTTGGAGAAAGCCGACGGCTGTTCTCCAAGCCTAAGAAGTCGTAGCTGCCAGTCCAAAGGTTGGACATTTTTTGCCGCCTGTCCTCCAAACGGAGGGGGTTGCAGAAAATATTGTTGTGGCGGTACAAAGGGTAAGTTTGGCACCGCCTGGTCACTCTGAAAATCAGACCGACGGGAGGTACCGCCTGTCTGACTCTCATGATTTGACTGGGCATACCTCATAGAGGTATTGCGCAGACTATCCTGAAAATCTGAAGTAGAGGCCGACTCTGACAGTCGGTCGTTCCTCTTCTACTCTAGCAATAGCCGAGCATCTGTATATGTTTTCTTCGACCCATCCGCTTATATATGACGAACGGGCTTCCTCTTTCCTGGAGTAGGAAAGTGGTACTTTGTGAAATCAAGAGCAGGCGGCTCCCACTTCCTAGAGTTAGGATGAGGGGTCGCCTTTCGTCCTTGAAGAGGCTTTCTCTTCCCTGATGAAGAAGGTTTCTTAGCCGACTGCTCCTTAGCTAGAGCAGGCGTCCTTTTGTTGATCAGGTCCTAAATCTCTCCCTTGAAACTCCTCATGAAGGTCATGAGTTCGTTTCGTGTAATGGGAGCAGATCCTTCAGCCGGCTGCTGCTTAGCAGACGGTGCGCCGGCTGGATCACTGAGTCCAGTTTGAGGATCTTCCCGTTCACTCCTTTCGGTATGACGGGTACGCCGGGCCCTTAGGGTCCCGTCTGAAGCTGTATGTGCTTCAACTTCAACCTCTTCTTCATTATCGTGATCCGACTGAACTTGAGGGTCGTCCAGGGGACGCCTCTCTTCTGGAGTCGGTACAGACGTGGATGTCATCTCAAAAGTACTCTCCCCACAGACGGCGCCAAAATGTTTTGGGGTTTTCTGATGTCCTGCGGGAGAGTTACAATTCCGAGACAGGAACCGGACGCCTGTACCTGCAAAACAAACGGATACTCTGAGTGATTGGAGATCCGCCTCCAACGGTCAAGTTAGTACTTGTTCAAGGAGTAATTATTGCGGAATATTGTAATTGAGTCTTTCTAGGTGAGAGTCTTTTATGTGCGTAATTCCCCTTAATGAGGATTAATGAGCATATTTATATGCCTTGGGAAGCGTGCCAACACCTAGGTTTAGGCTTAACCTAGGGCTGACTGGGCTTCCCACAAGGATTGGGCCTTGTTGGCTGATTTTCCCATTTGGCATGGGTGGACACGTGTCGCGTCGCAATTGGTCCAAGGAGGACGCATCTCTGATTGACACGTGGCAGGCTCCTATTGGCCTACGTGAAGGACACGTGGCGGAACCTGGTTGGTCCACTTATCAGATGGTGATTGGTGGATAAAAATCCCCTAATCAGTATTAATCACGGGACAAAGAGTCCATTAGTACATAAGAGGAAACCTCATTGGGAGAATGATTCTACCAAACTTTTTCCGTACCGAAAGGAACTAACCTAGCTAGACGATGAGCAACGAAGTTGCCATCTCTTTTAACATGAGACCACGAAAAAGACTTAAAATAAGTACTTGACATAAGAATATCTCCCAAAATCAAATCTAAATCAGCAAAGTACAGGGCACCTTTTGAGAGCCGGTTTATAAGCATTTGGCAATCCGATTCGACAAAACATCCCCAAGACCTCTTTGCTTCCCTATCTTAAGTGCCATGTCAATGACCTGAGCTTCAGCAATCTCTGATGGCCAGTGAGCTCGCATGCGTCTGGTGGCAGCATACAACACCCTTCCTGCAGCATCTCGGGCAATCACCCCTAGCCCAACCCATCCTTCCTTCGCAAGTGACGCATCCATGTTCAATTTTACTATCCCTTCAGGGGGTGATTTCCACGACTTCCCAGAGGCTGGCACTCTTTTTGCAGATGTGTAGATGCGTCTTGAGTAGCTACCCACCCCTTCAGTCCACCTTACAACCCGGTTGAGCAGCTCATCGTTTGGGGTTGTTTTGCCTTCGAAAATCTTTTGATTGCGCTCCTGCCAAATACCCCACGCAAGCAAAACACCTTTCTGCAATAGCTTAGCATTCAAACTCCCCCATGATTCCACCAAATCACACATGGAACCCGCCTCTTCCCACCTGCACGTGGCCTCACAACCACTGTCAGCCCATAGATCCCTCACCCTTTCATAGTCAAAAAGAGCATGCCCCACTGTCTCCACTCTATTGCACCACAGACAAGTGTCATCATCCACCATATGACGGAAATGCAGCATCCTTCTAACAGGGAGAGTGCTTGTACAAACACGCAACATAAATTGACGTGCTTTGGGAAAAACCTCCATTCCCCAAATCTTCACAAAGGCTTTATGAAATATGTCAAAATTTCACCCTTTTCCCAATATGTATGCGGTTTTGACAATGTACTCGCCATCCCTAGAAAAAGCACATGTGATCTCATCTTTATCATTATGCCTACTAAGCGGAATGGCAAGAAATTTAATATTGCATTCATTAAATACCTCTTCAATAAGCTCAACTCTCCACTCCTTGGTGTCGACATCAATGATATCCACCACCCTTTTCACCCTTTCACTTGCTGTACTAGTCACGAACCTACCCTCTTCATTAGCCACCCATGGTTCACGCCATAGATTAATCTTGGCACCATCACCCACCCTCCATATATGTCCCTCTTTAACAAGCACTTTTGAACTCCATATACTCCGCCAAGAGTAGCTTCCAGATAGTCCCAAACTAGCCTCTAAGAAATTGCGATTCAGAAAGTATTTCGCTTGCATCACCCGACCAAGTAAGAAATCCGATTTCCTAATGAGCCTCTAAGCATGACGCCCCAATAAAGCATCATTAAAAACCGATAAATCCTTGAACCCCAAGCCTCCAAGACACTTGGGTTCACACAAATTTCCCCAGTTCCCCTAATGAACTTTCCTATGTCCATTCCTCTAACCCCACCAGAAATTAGCCATGGCTGATTTAATGCTTCGGAGTACCGTTTCTGGAATTTCGTACACGCCCATTAGGTATGTCGGGATCGCTTGGATCATAGCTTTGAGGAGTATTTCCTTTCCGGCTCGGGATAAAAAAAAATTCTTTCCACCCTTGCAATTTCTTACCAATTCTGTCTAGAAGCGCCACACAGAGAGCCTTTTCGATCTATCCATAATGGTGGGAATTCCCAAGTACTTCTCATGACTCAACAATGCTTCCTTTTGCTCTTCACTCACCCCTTTACTAAAAGACACCTCCGACTTCTCATAATTAATTTTCTGTCCGGATGCTACTTCATATTGGTTGAGAATATCACCTATCACTTCGCATTTCTGTCGAGTCGCTCTAGTAAAGAGTAAACTATCATGTACAAATAAAAGATCTGAGATCTCCGGGCCATTTTGAATTGCTTTTGCCCCATGAATCTTCCTTTCACGTACTTTACCCTGAATCATTCTAGAAAACACATCAGAATTTAGAATAAAAAGATACGGCGAAAGGGGGTCCCTTTGATGAAGACCTCTAGAGGGTTTTACAGAGCCATATACACCCCCATTTATTATAAAGGAGTAAGAAATGTTGATCAATCCTTTAACATGAGATATAAATTAGAGATTAAATTATGTGCACCTGATAAACCTGAAAACGTAGTGAGTGATGAGACCATGATTCTAATGTAGATCGAGTTTCCGTTTAGGGTGTATTGTTATGATGGCTAAAGTGAGGATGAGACTCACTAGAATAGAGAGGGAAAAGGAAAAGTGTAAGATTGGTGTATTCACCTCTGTCTCATGACCTCTATATATATATACACCCAAGGGGAAACCCTAATCAGGCCGTAAGGATAATTACGTCCATCAAATAATTATCAATTAAATACGCAGGATATTTATAAGGTCAATGATCAATTAATTAGATAAATGATAACTCAGGCCACATAATAAAATCGTGTCCTACATTCTCCCACTTGGCCGAGTAATCATTTATGATGAGTACTAGATAAGTCCGATCAGATTTTAATACCCATTTTAGTTCTAAACCGGAACTTGCAGCAGAGAAATACAGTCATTGAATTGATATTCAACTCAAGACCCCCATTAATCATGCTACAATACCAAATTTAAAACTTAAATAAGCTAAGGATCAAATTGACAATTAAGCCCTCAACATTAATTTGTATATAAATGTTGTCTTCATGTCTTTAGGCATGCATAGACACATTCAGAGACGAACAAAACAAAACAATGAGGAAATTTTATTATTAAATGTAAGTAAGTATAATATGCAACTAAATAAGGTCTTTAGAAAACCCCATCTTCGAAATATGTTCTTCGAAAATTTTAGGAGGTAGACCTTTAGTCATCGGATCCGCAAGCATATTCTTAGTACTTATATGCTCAATACAGAGTTTATTTTCCTCAACTCGCTCACGTACGAACAAGTACTTTGTATCAAGATATAAAGCAGCGCTAGTCGAACTGTTACTGTTCGAGAAACTAACGGCGGCTGAGTTATCATAGTAAAGCTTCAATGGTCGAGAGATGGAATTAACCACCTTGAGTCCAGTGATGAGATTTCTAAGCAACATCCCATGACAGGTTGCGTTGTACACCGCAATGTATTCTGCCATCATTGTAGAAGTTGCAGTCAACTCTTGCTTATGACTCTTCCACGAGATAGGTCCACCAGCTAACATAAAGATATACCCTGAAGTGGATTTCTTGTCATCTTTTCACTTAGCAAAATCAGAATCAGAATAACCAACCACTTCTAAATTATCACCTCTTCTGTAAGTCAGTTTATAGTCTTTCGTCCCTTGTAGATATCGAAGAACTTTCTTAGCTGCTTTCCAATGATCAAGGCCAGGATTAGTCTGATAACGGCCTAACATTCCAGAAATATAAGCAATATCTGGACGAGTACAGACTTGTGCATACATAAGGCTTCCAACTACTGACGCATAAGGTATCATTCTCATCTGTTCTTTTTCAACCTCTGTTTTTGGACATTGAAATAAACCGAAAACATCTCCCTTAACTACTGGAGCTACAGAAGGAGAGGAATGTTGCATGTTATAACGTTTAAGAACACGCTCGATGTATGCCTTTTGAGATAATCCCAAAATACCATTGACTCTATCTCGGTGTATTTCGATGCCAATAACATAAGAAGCCTCTCCGAGATCTTTCATGTCAAAATTACGCGAGAGTAAGCGTTTAGACTCATGCAACGTGTCTAAACTATTACTTGCCAATAGAATGTCATCTACGTAAAGGACAAGTATAGTAAAGTTGCTCCCACTCATCTTTAGATAGGTGCATTGATCCACTTGGTTCTTCAGGAAACCTTCTGACTTCAAGACTTGATGCAACTTTAGGTACCATTGATGTGATTCCTGCTTCAACCCGTATATGGATTTTTTCAGCTTACAGACTAGGTGTTCTTGACCTTCAGATTTGAAACCGTCGGACTGTTTCATGAACACTTCTTCATCCAAATCGCCATTAAGAAAAGCGGTTTTGACATCCATCTGATGTAGCTCTAAATCAAAATGAGCTACAAGGGCCATAATGATCCTTAAGGAATCCTTTCGAGAGACAGGAGAAAAAGTCTCTTGATAGTCAATTCCCTCTTTCTGAGTGTATCCCTTTGCAACCAATCTCGCTTTGTAGCGTTCAATGTTTCGTCCATTCGGATCTAGTTTTATTTTGAAGACCCATTTACACCCTACGAGTTTTACACCGTTGGGTAATTCAACCAAATCCCAAACACCATTTTTCTTCATGGAGTCAAGCTCTTCAATCATGGCTTTATTCCATTCAGAAGACTGATCACTGCAAATGGCTTCATTATAAGAGGTAGGATCAGTAAACTTTCCAGCATCCATTTCTGCTTCAGTCAGATAGGTAACATAATCATCAAAGTTAGTAGGCCTTTTAGACCTAGAAGACCTCCTCAGTATATTTTCAGGTTGACCATTGGCAACATTGTCTTGAGAGTGATCATTTGAAGTGCTTTCATTTCCAGGTACATTTGGAGAAGGAGGTGGTGTAGTGTCCAGTTGAGTAGCATGTACAAGAGGAGTAATTTGAGGTAAAGTAATCGACAAGTCTCTCCCCCCCGCGTCTTGTACTTCCCGCAATTCCTCATAAGGATTTTCACTACTCCCACTGACCTTAAAATCTTCAAGGAAATGAGCATCTTTGGTTTCTACAATGCGAGTTACGTGGGAAGGGCTATAAAATCTGTAACCCTTTGAGTGAGAAGGATAACCAATGAAGTAATAAGTTGTAGTTTTCATGTTGAGTTTCTTTAAGAATGGATTATAAAGTTTAGCTTCGGCAAGACAACCCCATACTTTCATATATCTGAGACTCGGTTTCCTTCCTGTCCAGAGTTCATAAGGAGTTTTAGGGACAGCTTTAGAAGGAACCCTATTGAGTATATGAACGGCTGTTTTTAAGGCCTCGGTCCAGAGGAATAGGGGTAAACCTGAGTTGGCTAACATACTGTGTACCATGTCCATTAGGGTCCTATTTCTTCTCTCAGCAACACCGTTCTGCTGAGGAGTACCAGGCATAGTGTATTGGTTCACGATCCCCTGGCTCTTAAAAAACTCATAAAATGGACCAGGAGCTTGACCCACATCAGTATGTCTACCATAATATTCCTATATCTGATCTTACAACTTTTATTTGACGATCAAGTTGTTTTTCTACTTCAGTTTTATAATCTTTAAAACTTGTAAGTGATTCAGATTTTTCCTTAATAAGATACAAGTACATATAACGAGAATAATCATCAATATAAGTGATAAATGAATTATGTCCAGTTATACCAGTGATAGTGTAAGGACCACTAATGTCATTGTGAATAAGCTCTAATGAATTAGAACTCCTAGTGGCACCTTTCTTGTTCATTGATGTCATTTTACCTTTAAGGCATTTGACACATGTTCCAAATTCATTGAAATCGAGAGATGGTAACACTTCATCCTTCACGAGTCTAGACAAACGTTCTCGTGAAATGTGGCCTAAGCGTTGATGCCACAACGTGGATGAAGTTTCTAAGTCTCGTTTTCGTTTTCTCTTTGTTAGTGTCTGATTGATATTGTATGAAAACAAAGATTTGGAAAAATTATCATCTAGTTCTAATTTATAGAGACCACCATCCAGATAACCACGTCCAAACACTTGAGAATTTAAACTATTAGTAAGTCTGCCATGACCATGAGAAACATCAAAACCGTCTATGTCTAACTTTGGTCCTGATACTAAGTTTCGAGTAATCTCGGGAATATATAAGGTATCATAAAGTTTAATACATAAACCAG